CAGTCCCTCTATCAATGATAGTATCATGATAGAGGGACTGTGATTGTAGGTATGCAGGTATATCCATGGTCTATGATACATAATACAATTTTTCTTTTTAAATACCTTGTCTTTTTCGAATTCGCTGCAGTCGTTTCAACTCCATCAATTTTTGTTTTTTAGAAGAAGAAATGATATTTTCCTGCGGTCTCGAAGGTGAACTGAAAGTGGAGGAGAGACCACCGAGTCCCAATTCTCACTTTCACTCTCGGGGGTCGTGTCGGAGTCCAACGTTAGCGCCGGTCGGGTCGTACGTCTGTGTGTTTTTTTCGGAAGTTCGTCATCGGAGCTAGATATAAGTTGTTTCTCTAAGCTCATCTTTGCAACTGCGCGTGCACTGCCTTTGTTGTACGAGGGTTGTTTATCTCTACCCCGGAAATTGTATGCCTTGTGTTTCACGTCAGAGATCTGAGACAATTCGTGGTCTTCATCAGAATCCGAAAGGACTGCCCTCCTTTTTCCTGACATTGTTCTTCTCCTCCTAGATGTTTTGAGGGGTGCAGTGTCGTCTTCTGACATGGTAGTTGTTGATGTAGTTATCAAAGGGCAAAATTTACATTGGCGAACCAAAACCACCAGTCTGTATATTGCATCCAGGGTGATCAGACAAATTGCGGGATAACATCCATTTAAACAGATTGAAACGCACAGTTACTGCAAATACACGAGGTTTTACCCAATAGTCATGTTCATGGTCGTACACGCGACGATCACAGGATCCAAATGTGCATCGATCATTTTTACGTTGCAGATTTCCAACCTCCCGCCATGTTGGATTACACTCAACGTACCGCCAACTGGCGGTTAGTGGCACAAATGTTTTCGTTTTTTTTTTCATTGTCTTTATGCATGTACGTCACCCATTATCGGAGAGAGCCAAAATTGGTAAAACTGCGTGGGTCCCATGGTAAAGGGTCAGGGTATGTCAGTATATTTATTTCCTAATTGGTGTGAGAATTAATTCCCTAGGTATAATGAATTACATTGCCTGTTTGGTTGTAAGAATTGTTGCGTTGTAAAAACACGAGGCTTGTTCTGCCCAAAATAAACAGTCAGCATTCAGACGCAATATTTACACAATACCAGTCTATTTGAATTATTATGTATCCAGCTCGATCTGACACTAATTATTGATTTTTTAAAACTTGTTGATTTGATTTTTTTCTTACATTTCATGAGAGGAAATTCAGCTTTGGGCCGGGAAAGTATTACTCATTGTGTGCATTTTGTAATCACTACCTATTTACTGGTCAAGGTAGAATACGACTTTTTTGCATTCAATACTAGTATTCTTTAATTGAAGTTGAAGTTGTCCTGGAAGGTAGTACTCCTACTATCGTCCATGATGTTGCCTATGGTATCGTTAAGTACTTACATTGAATAAATCCATACACGTCGTATATTATGAGAGCATCTCTTATTTTAGTGTTGTGCCTATCGGTTATCATATAGGGCTCACGGTGAAGACCCGTCCCGTTTTTCAGTACTGCAGCTAAATACGTAAAACGTTCAAACGTTTTTACATGTATTTCGTTTTTATATAAACTGAGAACCTTTTGAAAGATTGTTATCTTGTAAATTAACAGCGAACGAATCAAAAACTTAGATATAAAAGAACAGCATGAAAGACCATCATTCTGAGATGGGTGTTCATGGTAACTACTGTAATTAACCTACTTACACAATAATAACACTGTCAAATTTTCCTATATCTCAGCATCATGAAAACACACATATATATATATGCATTGTCATAGTTTCATGCTTAAAAAATGACGAAAAACGCCATAATTGCAATTAAACTGCCATTCGCGGCCTTTTAAGTTCATATCGCTGCATTGACAGCGCAGAAGACACGAGCCACACGCCGAGGAGCTCTTCTTGAGCTTATTGCTCCATCACGCGTCATTGCAAAGAAAATAAGTTAAAGCATGCGACAGCACCAAATGCCGATCTTTATTGAAGTCACAGCAAAACCAAATGAGCGAACTGACAGTTAGCTGTGATTATTCAAAGACTTCTTTTGTCGGTACTTGGCTACGTGGTTATTTTGCCTCAACTGACAAAAATAGTTATGATAACCTGACACCGCTCACTGTGTTACTACCAATTTATACCAGCAATTTCGCTTATTACTGTGAACAAATCGTATTTATTATGATTATGCAAATCAAAATTGTCATCCAAATGATAAATCCCAATTTTGAGCTGAAGTATAGCGCCCTCTATCACCTCCTGTTTGAGAATGACACTCGGAAGATCTGTGTAGATTTATATCCATAAAAGCGTTCAACACTAAACATGGGAGTATTCAACACCCATTTTAATTGAAAACAACAAAAAAACTGTTAACAACTGTAAAAAAATGTCAAGATTAATTATTATATAAGGGTCATTCGGCGAGAAAATGCAGACATGACCCTAATGATTATAATACACTGAGTACGACTTTTAATTATTCGTTGTGATTTATTTTCACTGATAGTTAAATACTCTAGATGAAGATATGAATGATATTAAAGTTAACAATACAATCACAAACCAATAAATTTAAAACCCAGTGATATCCCTACAACCTCAAATCCACTAAAATTAATCCCAGTGAATAAGTTCCCCTCTCCAGTTTGCATTGAATACACACGTGAACCCCCTCTTCGCCAGCGCATAGTGTGCACACTGTTTGTTTGGGGGCTGGTATAAGTATTAGGTCTTCACTAGACTGCACATCCACTCAATAATACGCAATACACGGTATCAATAAGGTAGGTTGCAGGATTTAGCCACATAGACAGTCCGACCAACCATTTATTTGTACTCTACAAAAAACGCCAACCTATAATAACTTATAAGGAAAAAAAACAACTTAAAGGGCGTTAGTCATCGCGCTGCGCATGTACGAGATATATGGGTCTCAGAGATATATGGGTCTCATATAAACAAAGATGGCGACTTTGACTGTTGCGCAGATCAACGAGAACGAACTGAGACGTTTCCAAGCTTTAAATAAGTAATTTTCATGTTATTGGAAGGTATCGAAGGAGTCACCGGCGGTAATCAGTGCAAGTCGCGCCCAGGTCAAACCTCATACTTGTGATTTCCATTTGAAGAGCGTATTGGATTGTGGGAAAATCAATGTTTATCAAAACAAATGTGGCACATGCGGAGCGCGACGACTACCGCGCTTTAAGTTCGCATCACTGATAAGTTAGTAATAAACTTGAAAATGAAAAATAACTGAAACAAAATGCATCTTCCTTCTTCGCTTGGCACAAAACCGCCCAGAAAAAAACAGAGGAAAAATACTGCTGGAAACCTGTACCCCCAGCCTTTTCATGTGTGCCAGAGGGTGGATGTCGGGTTTCATCCAATATGCTAAATTAGACTTAATAAAAAAATATGTTTATGCACGACTGAACTGTGGCTAGTCCAGCATAAAATTATTGCCCACTGCAGACTTCTGCTTTTATACGTACAAATCACGTGATTAACATAAAGTCAACGATTGGCTGTTATCATCATGTGAAGACAATAGTTTCCCGCTATACTGGCGAACCGCGGGAAACTTTATATACGCCGGTGCCGCCTACAAGGGGCTTAAACTCAGCTCCCTTTAAGCCCGATTACACAGCTGTAAGTTACGCTTACGTGAAAATGAGACAACAAACATATGTGAACAAAATATACTACTCCGTTGCTGTCCAATTCAGAAGACATATAATTCACAAAATCTGGGTGGAAACCACAGCCACGCGCAATGTACTACTGTTTGCAACAGTTCATTTTCCGCGTGAATATGCAGAAATGAACACATGCTACACTCACTACACGTGTCTGTAGTGAAAACCCCCTTTCCCGCGATTGTTTCAAAAGCGTGTGATTTCTTGTTTTCTCTGAATACATGAGGTATTCTTATTTAAGCGAGAGTTTGAGGGTTGAAACTCCACAATTGGTACCCTAGATGTAATTACAAATGCAATGAATGGCCCTGCCCGCCAGGCTGGAAGACGGGAAATTCACAGACGCTTGTTCACGAGAGTCACATGTAAGAATGATTATGAAAACCTTGCATAATATCCTTCTATAATGATTACTTGCGCAATTGTCAAGATTTCAATCAAATAGTCAAATTCGAAGACAGAGAATAAACAAAAGTAATTTACGCCTGTGCAAAACGCCTGCCAATAAAAACAATCTGTCTAACTATTACTAGTATATGT